AAAAGCGTTGTTATGTCCTAAAGCTGAAGTATCTCTCCTTTACTATAGACGTAAGCTCACATGTTATAATCTGACTGTGCACGATTCTGCTAACAACCAGGAATACTGCTACATGTGGCCAGAATCGCTAGCATGTAGGGGTGCTTGTGAAATTGGTAGCAGCATATTAAGTTTCATTGACGAAATGGTACGAAATGTAATTAAGGAATTCAGTTTCTATAGTGACAACTGCCCGGGGCAAAACCGCAATAGATTTATATATTGTTTATATATGTATTGTGCCGCCAAATATGACGTTAAAATTACTCACAGCTTTCTAGAGAAGGGACATACACAAAACGAGTGCGACTCCGTACATGGGGTTATAGAAAGAGCTGCTAAAAAAATACCCATATTTAGTCCACAGTAGTGGTATACATTAGCAAGGACTGCGTGTAAAGTGCGGCCTTATAAAATTAAAGAAATGGCTCAGACAGACTTTTATGATTTAAAGGACATGTTAGCCAAAACTACAAAAACTTGGGATAAAACTGAACATGGTTGCAAAGTCATATTCAGTAATTTAAAAGTTATTATGGTTGACCCAAAATGTCCACACGAACTTAATGTTAAATATAATTTTGAAGAAGATTTCATAAAAATTAATACTCTGGAATTGAAAAGGAGCTACCACAAATTAGACTCATTAGAGACTTATCAACTTAAAATATTGAGAAGCTCACCGGTTCCAATTTCTTCTGCGAAATATAAAGACTTAATGTTTTTGTGCGAAAACAAATTTATACCTACGGAATACCATACTTTTTTCACTAATCTTCAAGGTAGCAACAATCCCGAACCGGAAACTGATGAAGATTAATTTAATATTAGGTTAGATTATTAATTAACATATTATTTTGACTATTTCACAGTATTTTCTTTGGTATTTTTATTTTGAATTGTAAACCTTTAATGAAAATTAAAAAGTTGTAAATGTTACTAATTTTTATTATTTGTATCCCATGTTGACCTTAATTTTTTGTAAGCTTAAAATTTATAAATGCAGAAGTAGTGTATGTACCAAAATCGCACTTACAATAGTTCTGCAGTAGAATTTCTAAAACAGTAGTATCCTAAGTCACACTTTTTGGAAAAAAACTGTCATTTACCTGTTTCATTCCTAATAACATATTTAAAAGGTTCTTAATATAACATAATAAAACAATTTCGTCATTTACTCCAATAATTTTTAAATTATGCCACATTGAAATATTAAAATTGCTCTCCTGTAAAATATCTTAAATGTGAGTTAAGCTAGTTCTGCATTCAGGTGACGATATACTCCAGGGAAATAAGCAAAAAATAGACCATGTTCGTGACACTCAATAATCCAGGTCGCTGACAACTTTTTTAGTTATTGTAGACCTCTAGGAAGAAAACCTACTTCTTTTTTTGCCTTGAATTTGGAGCTGTTTTTTAATTATTGACAATTTAATGCAAAAAACGCGACTGTTTCTATGATTATTGATACTAGTATTAAAAAAAAAAAAATAGATTTTTGGAAGAAAATTGTTTTGCACGAATTGTTTAAACAAACTAGACTATTTATTAATTAATTAATATATAAACAAATTACTAATTCCTAATGTACGTAGAAATTACATACAAATTAAAAATAGATCATACAAAATAAAAAAATAAGAATGATGAAAATCCATTGAGTAGATCCGGAGATATAGAAAATTTTATTAGTTTGAAATTGCTTGTTCGGTTTGGATTTGTAGGTTCTTCCTAGTCACCATTTGAACTACATTTTTGAAAATTCGTAGAGGTCCTGTAAAGGTACAATGTTTGTGCAAATTTTTTAACAAAAAATACAAATCCCATTCCTTAACATGGCAAAAAATGAGGTTCCTTAATTATTATAATCAAATTAGCTGTGAATTATCATCTTTTCTTTGACTTGATCTACTACTTGTTGTAATTGGTCGTAAAACACTTCCCTTGTTGTTTGAGGCTTATTATTTTCTAGGCCGTATACTCCGATAATGTTCAGGTTTTCCTTCTCCATTCTTATCTTTGATGTTACTATTCTTTCTGATATGTATTGACACTCTTTGATGTAATTTGATACCTTTGGTGTATTAGTAAGGGTACACCTTCTTTGGCCCTGTTTTCTTTTGCTACTCCACTGTAGATTAGTATGTATTCACCTAATTTTGATTGACCTTTTCCTTTATTTTTTGTTTGTTGTAGAGCACAAATGTTCCATTTCTTTCTCTTTCAACACTTGGGTTATTTCTTGGTCCCTTGAGTTGAGTGATCTGATATTCCAAGTAATTCTCATCTGGGTTTTGGATGTTTTTCGCTTGTCCTTATTTCTTGTCGTAGTCGTCTTCATAGTATCCGGTTCCGAGACTGTACATTGTTTCTTTGAGCAGTATTTGATTTTACGATTGGTAGGTTGCTAACCAATAAATATAAATAATTAAATTTCATATTCAAATACTGCAAATTTGGTTATTATTCTGAGCTCATGTAAAGAAGAAAATAAAATAATAATTCTGATTGAAATACAAAAAAAAATGTACTGGATGATTGACCAAAACTGCTGTTTCTATATAATAAATTATTATTATATAAGCAAATACTGAAACAATTGTATTATTATAAAAACAGTATAAATATTTAGAAAGAAAATGGAAAATCAACAGAAAATATTTCTATTCATATAAAAATTTAATAAAATGATAGGTACTTACTGCTTATTTATATAACATTTCCTATTTTAAATACAATAAACACACTGGTTTGTCAAAAGTCGAAATAAGCCCTAATAATGTTATTCAAGTTTATTTATCCTCCTCCGAGGGTTTTACCTACCTGGCGAGGATCCAGAAGCTACCGACAAGGACACCCTGTGCTGACGGAGAGAAAATTGCGTTTAGCAAAAATTTGAAATTTTTTAAAAGTTTATATCAAATAGCTGCTTTGTGTTACACTTTATGTTAAAAATAAAAACAGATTCGGAAAGTGGGTCAAATTCTGTAGTGCCCTATTTAAAAAAAAAAAAAATTTCGTTTATTTTAACCAAAAATATTTGAAAAAAAAAATTGTTTAAACAATTTATTAATTTACAACCAAATAGTGCACTAGAACTTTTTTAGACCTTCCATATAAAAAAAGAATCATCTCAATATCTGCCATAGTTTTTGCGTTATTTGATATAAACATTTACATTGGAATTTACCTATGCCCAGAATCGCGAGGATCGGCCTTAATCATTTAAGGAGAATCCCTAGTGACTAGAAAGAGAATGTCACTATTATCTTTCCCTTGCTGACAATAACTTTTGTGTTGCACTTGAATATATATATATATATATATATATATATATATATATATATATATATATATATATATATATATATACATATATATATTATATATATATATATATATATATATATATATATATATATATATATATATATATATATATATAGCTAAGAGAGCTAAGAGAATACCACTGAGAAGCTGTTAGAAGACAACACAAAAGGGGACAACAGCAACACCAGTTAAGTTATGGAAGTACCAAAAGCAAATTGACTTTTTATATATGAAAAACAGAAATACTGTTGAATATCTGTCTGTTCCATCAGAAGAAAATCAGTTGGAAGAGAGTGAAATTACAAACAGACACAAATAATGAAGAAATAATAGAATCTTCTCAGAACCACAGCCCCAAAAGGTTAAAAAGATCCACCGTACGCACAGATCCCGTTATTCAAAAGTTTTTTGAGGGCAGTGAGAAGAGGGACGAAATACGAGAAAACGTGTTAAAACATAAAAAACAGGATGATCTAAATAAGGATGGCTTATACCAATTTTTTTTCTCGATGTACGACATAACCAAACATCATCCGAGAAAATACCATAAACAAATAAGGAGAAAACTATTCCCAGCTGTTTTTCAGGCTGAAGATATGGCCGAGGAAGAAATTGAGAAGAATTCTGAGATGTACAGCCAGCAATCTACTCCATCGACCAGCCAATCTGGTAGTTATTATGTGATAAGCCAAGAGTACCCAGAATTATTCTCTCCTTCACATATAGCGTCTTAAGATCGGAAGAGAGAAATGAAGCATGTTACTCGAAAAATTTTGACGATTTTTGAATCAATTTATTAAATGTTAAAATATTAAAATTAAATGTGAAAATATTAAATAAAAAAAACTTTTTTTCTGAATTTTGAAATATTTCCCTTAGACATACTGCTAATTTTTCTTCACTTCCAATGGGCTTTTGTGCATTACACTCTTGACCGGTAATATCTTCTTTAATTAATTTATGAACCTCACTGAACTGTCTTCTGTTTAACCGAAACGACTCTTTAAAGACATCTGGAATTTCACTGGATAACTTGAACTCTTCATGACTCTCTCTTTTTCGTAATTACTCATTAGTTTTACTTCTTTTTCTTTTTTTTTTCAGTAAGTGCAACATAACAAATCTTTCGTCACTTTCAGATTCTAAATTGAGAATACAAATATTTGACATGGGCGTGGGCTGTGTTTAATATGCGTTATTATTGGAAAACGTGTACTTGGACTAGGTTGGACCATATGTGGGATGTGCATGGGCTGTGTTCAATTTGCGGCGGGCGTAATTCTTCGCACTCTAGATCACTAGATATGGTACAGTGTTGGCAATCGAAATTAAGCTGTAAGTAATAGGATCGAATGGGGGATTAAGAGAAATTCGAAACTCAACTTGGGCAATAGCTCTAATGATGCTGGGTGTTCACATAGTATGTTATGTCATTTGATAAGTGTGATGGAATTTTGTACACTTTTTTAACTGTCAAAGACTTGTTTACAAGATGTCTGTGTATAGAAGTCTCCAAACATATTTCAAATATTTATATAATTCCAAAACATATTTATATAATTGACTAGACTTCTGCTGTCTAGCATTTTCTTTGTACTCAAATGTTGCATTATAGTTGGTTTGTATTTTAGGTTATCCCCAAGAGGAGACCAAACTGAACCTAATTATGGAAACAATAACTGAACATTCATCTAGCGAAGGAAACTCTATGAGTAGATACGCTGAAGGAAAAACATTAAATCAAAATATGAAAGTTGTGACTGGACAAAGACCTTACAAATGTAACATTTGTTTCAAACAATTTCCTCAAATAAAAAATTTGAAACGACATTTGATAATACACACCACAGAAAAACCTTATAGATGTGAAATTTGTTTTAATATGTTTGCTCTAAAAGTTTATTTAACTAAACACATGAAAGTTCATGGAGAAAAGCCTTACAACTGTGAAATTTGTTTTAAAACGTTTTCTCAAAAATATTTTTTGAAAATTCATTTAAGATCGCACACTGGAGAAAAACCTTATAAGTGTGAGATTTGTTTTAAACAGTTTTCACTATCAGGTAATTTGAAAGCTCATATAAGGACACACACTGGAGAAAAACTGTACAAGTGTGAAGTTTGTTTTAAACAATTTAGTGAAGCAAGTCATTTGAAAGCACATTTAAGAACTCATACTGGAGAAACACCTTACAAGTGTGAAATCTGTTTTAAACAGTTTTCTCAAAAATATTTTTTGGAAATTCATTTAAGAACGCACACTGGAGAAAAACCTTATAAGTGTGAGATTTGTTTGAAACAGTTTTCTCGAAAAGATGTTTTGAAAAATCATTTGCGAATACACACTGGAGAAAAACTGTATGAATGTAAAATTTGTTTAAAGTCGTTTAGTCAATCCCGTAATTTGAAAATACATTCGAGAGTACACGATGGAGAAAAACCTTATAAGTGTGAAATTTGTTTTAAGCAGTTTATTGAGGCACGTAATTTGAAAACACATTTAACAGTGCACACTGGAGAAAAACCGTACAAATGTGAAATTTGTTTTAAGCAGTTTCGGCAAGTAGGCAATTTGAAAACACATTTGAGAGTGCACACTGCAGAAAAGCCTTACAAGTGTGAAATTTGTCTTGAGCAGTTTTCTCAGAATAGTAATTTAAAAGCACATACTAGAACAGATCATAAACTATAAATTTTTTTTTAACAGGTTTTTCCTTAACAGGTGGTATGTCACAATGTTAATTTATATACGTTTTAGGTACAGTTATCGTCACTATTACAAAACAAATCTTCAAATTATGATTGTGTACGTAAACTTTCTATTTTATTGATATCTAGTTAAAATTTCCAAAGAAAGCTGTGAATTTTTCATAACTGTTATTAAGTGAATCCATGTCATAACTTACGTGGAAACGTGTCTAAAAATTGGTATTGTGTAATCGTTTTTGAACTTGGGTACAAAATGACTATGTTATACTAAAACAATTTTTAATTGAAGGTGATTACTTGGCAACATCGCACTTAACGAAGCCCTTAACGATAACTTTTCAACGAAATTCATATTCCACTTATCAATTTTGCAGAGGCGTACCAAAATTTTTTTTTATTATTTATTTAAACATAAGTAATTACGTAAAAATTAAATCTAAGACCGATATAATTATTAAATTATCGTGTGTCTTTTAACAGGTATCTTATAGTTGTCTAACAAAATAAAGTTAAATGTATTCTTATTAGAGAGTACCTAATACAAAACTTCAAAAACCAGAAAACTTTGGAAAATGCTTATTTTTTTTTCATTAGACTAAAACAATCTGAAATTTTAACTTACGATCTCATCATTACACATCATTCTCTATTTATAGAATTGCTGTGCGCCGTAAACGTTATATTGGTTTTTTTTTTTTAACTTAATTTGAAAGTTTCCTTGCGTTTATTTGTTTAGGTATATAAATATAAAAATATATTCTGAAGTTCATATAAATTAAAATGAAGTAAGCTTAACTATTATCATGTGAATGCGTGTATACAGTAGTGCATTTGTTTATTTAAGTAAATTCTCGAAATATGAAATGATGGCACTAACTACCAAAGAGTTAATAGCTTTGTTAGAAGAAGACTCAGATTGTGAAAATGATGTAGAAGACATTGATGATAATATTTTTTGTGAAGAATCAATAAAATTGGATATTGCAGGTACATATGAAATACAAGTGATTGGGAATTCTGACGATTCTGATTATGATATTCCTCTGAACCACAGATAAAACGTCCAAAGAAAAAACCAGGCAAAAATAATAAATCCAAATTTGTTTCAAGTTGTAACAACAGTAGTAATTCAACATCAGTCTGATTGATATTTAAACAATATAAAAGCCTACGATGGAGGCAAGTCATGAAGTTTTTCACTCTTTTTTTGATAAAAAAGTAATCGAGAACATTCTATATTTTACAAATATTTATGCATCGCAGAATAACCGCCACGATTTTGAAATGAATAACATAGATTTAAAAAATATATTAGCATATGTATATTATCTGGTTCACACTCTGCTTTAAGCTGATATGCATTGGTCAAAGGACGAGGATAAAGAAGAGCACATTATAAGAGAAAGCATGAGCCAACATAGATTTACATTTATAATAGTGAAGAAACTGCTGCATCAGTGTCAAACTTGCTTTACCAGATGAAACCAGATTCGACAATATTGGCCACATTCCAAAAATTACAAAAAGAGACGATAGTGCAAGAATGTAGGATGTGCAAAAGTAATACTATTTATTTATGTAAAAGGTGTAAAAAATTTACACCCCGAATGTTTCGAAAATTTTCACTTTAAAATTTAATTTACATTTAAGATACAATATGTTCCTTTATTAAAAATTGTACTGTTTTCCTTGAAAATGAGGAAAAAAATCTTTTTGGTTGTAAATTAGTCTTAATTTATTTGTTTTTAATCCAATTTAATAAATCGATTGTCAAATTTCTCTTTGTATATTGACCGTATATTGTTAATGGGTTAATACTATATAAAGAATAAACTTGCCTCAAATTTACTTTACTTACCTCAAAACTATTTTAAAGTTAATAAAAAAGTATATTTAATAAATATATTCCCAAGAAATAGAACACATTACGCCTATGCACATATATAATGTGGAAGGTAGTGGTGGGCTTCATAGTTCCTTTCTAGGAACTAGTTCCTGGAACTAGTTCTTTGGAACTATAACTAACTTTGCGATCAAATCGGTATGATCAATCTTGATATGAATCGGATCGAGTGTTTAGAAAATGGTTCGATATTAGACATCGCAAATAAAATAAAAGTAAAATATTGTAAACGATAGGAAACTAAATTAGAAGGCATTGGTTTAAATAATTATTTCTATTCACGAAAATAACGAAGTGGCCGTCATCTAAAAATAAGGAGATTTAACACACTACTGACTAGAAAATCGGAATAGATCTGTAAAATTGAATACGTAAACGAGGAACTCGTTATGTAGTTTCGTGCTTATATGTATGAATTTAGATTATTTACGGGAACGAAAATACGCAAATGACGATTACGTATATTTTTCTAAAATTTACAACAGCCAACAATACTCCTGTAGAACGTTATTTAAATAAATTAGGACATTTTTCCTTAATATATATTTTGTTATAAAAGTAATACTTTTATGTATTGTATTAAATGTTATGGTCATTCATTAATTTGTATATTTATTACTAGTCAAATATCATCATCAAAGTATTTTTGGAATAACCGCCATAATTACTCAATAATAATTGAGTAAATACCGCCAAATTGTTTCAACCTTTTTTCTTCTCTTATACGAGACACGGCTACTACAGACAATTATAATAAATTAATCGAAGCACAGTATATATGTATACGTATGTGCCTACAACAGGCTGAAGCTGACAGCCAACGATCAAGCATAGCATACCGAACCGATCACGATTATCATACGGTTCCTCGGAACTATCTTAGTTCATCGGCTCGGAACTAGTTCGTTTTTCGTTTTCGTCGATCGAAGAAATGCAGTTCGCACAAATGACGGTATCAAATATCAGATCAGCAGTCACGTTAATAGTTCCTCGGAACTAGTGCCATTTAATTTTCGGAACTATTTCATTTATAATATAAAATGAACTAGTTTCAGGAACTAGTTCGTTCCGGAACTACCCACCACTAGTGGAAGGAATAAACTAAAATATCATATTTCTCTCATTCCCATTCTTTCTAAGAACGAAAATATATATAGACCAGCAAAGTATTGATAAGTTTACCGATGTTTCAAACTATTCAATAAACTTGTCTCACTATGCACTCGTGAATCGCACCAATTTATATTGTTACGGGGGCAAATTTTATGAGGACTATCTTACTTTTTCACTTATTTACATGGGCGAAGCATACACAATAAAAAAGACCCAGTAAGAACATTTTACATGGTTGCCGCTACCGTTTAGTTCAATTTGTAGATTAGTCACTTTTAATTGAAAATTGTCCGACTATAAATGATTAACTATCCAAAAACCTCTATTTGAAGCAAATGTTCATTATCCATACTACCGTAATTTTTAAATTAACTGTACCTAAAAATAAAATTACAATTAAAAGCTGCAAACTAGGGATTTTATTGATATTACCGTAATCATTTGGCATTTTAATAGTGAGACATTAGTTCGGCTATCACTTAATAGATGGGAAAATAAGTTCACGTGTCATTTAGAAGGCAGCAGTGATGTATTAAATGGCGGCAGATGCGCGTTTGCCAAATTTAAGAAAAATCTGCAAAACATTTAAAACTAGTTTTGTGGTTATTCCATACCGTCTACGTCACAGTGTCTTAACAATTCCAAGTATACCATTTTTATCTTTGGCACCGTGACGTTATATAATCGTGGTCAAAATGCAGTCAGTTAAGTTTACTGAGAGATTATACGAGTTTTATACATATTACATAATTTACATAGGCTCTAGCATGTCACGTTGGGACTTATCTAAAAACAATTTCAGTTTTATTCACTTTTGCCAAATGTAATTGAAGTTATACTTCTATGTAATATATGTATTAATATTATTATTTATGTGATATGTTTTGTGTTATATATTAAACGTTTATAATTATTTTAGTCTTTTTTATTTCAAAATAATCACTGTTTGACCGAGAACTGTCAATTTTGAAATCCGTTAGTGTCATATCTAATTGGCAAATCCTTTACGTGTTTGGTTTATACGCTGGTGGTTGTGAGTTCGAATCCAAATGATGAATTTCCTTTTCTATTTTTTAAATATTTAAAAACCTCACGTTAATTTTATTAAATATATGAAATATACGCAAAAATGCTAAATTTTAAAATAAAATGAAAATTTACGACATAATCCGAGTTGTTGGTTTTTTATTTTTATCTTCGTAAAGTAAGTTATGTGTATTGGCAGTTTTAAATACTTATGAATATTACATTTTAATTTTTATATTAATAACAAAATAAACAATTAATTTTACTGCACAGTATATGTAAAAAAATTTTTTGCATTCATCTCCTTTTATAAATATATAAAAATAAAAATATATATTTTCATTAAAATGTTGATACAATTCTTCATTCACTATACTCCTATTACAATTACAAGTCAACTGTTTATATACAGCAAACGATGCAACATATACCTATATAACTAATTATTTTTCTCTTTCTGCTCTCTCTTACTTAAAGCATTGCATATGTAACGATTGTGCAGATTGACCCCCATATAAATTTTTAACGGCGAACGCGTGTATAGAAGTATAACCTACCGGCAGTCCCACTGGACTGCCATACCCGTTTTTTTTATAAACAAACCAATATTAAGTAATCATCGATTAAATTTTGTCGATTAATTATTTCGGTAAATGAAAAAGAATTATTTGAGTCATAATTAGAAATGATATGAAAATCTGAAATTTTTTGAGAAACAAACTTCCCCTGTTGACATTCGGTATGAAAAAATTGTTATTTTAGTGACGCTGTTTTTCAACTGACTAACGTATTTTACATTACTTAGAAATACTGTTCTTATAAATAAATAGTAAAGATAGTGCAAACACTCCTGACCATGGAGCTGCGAGAAGGCGGAGTCAAAATTCACGTAAAGACAGAAAGGTTCTATTGTAAGTGGAATTATACAGTGCACAGTACAATGCGTTTCGCATGGAAATATAGACTAAACCAAATTTCGTCTACTACACCTTGGTCAGGAGTGCTTGCACTATCTTTATTTACTTGAGAATTACCATAATCCTTTTTTGATCATTATTTACATGTTTTTCAAACAATTCCAAATTTCTTTATTAGTTTGGATAAATATTTGTGAGCAGGTTAAGAATTCAGAATTGTGGTCTGAATGCTGTATAAATACAAGAAGTAATAAAATATTTGCAAATGAATGAACGTTTTGTATCTATTAGTAAGAATTTACCCTTAGGTACATTCAGTGCCGGATTAACACTTTTGCCGCCCATGGGCCAGAGGTCTGCCTGCCGCCCTAGCGGGGGTGCAACACCGGGGGGGGGGTCCGGGCCCCCCCCCCCGAAAAAAATTGAAATTTAGAGGCAAAATAACGCATTTTGGGACATTTTCCAGCGCTCAACTGTCTCTTGATATTGTAATGGTTTTAGTACCTCTCATGATGAAAACAAGAAACTATGTCCTAAAATTGCGTTTTATTAATTAAAATAAACTATTTGACAAAACTCCGTTAATTACGAAACCATTTTCTACAACCGTGATATTCCATTACTTAAGATTACAATAATAGTAAATAAAATCGTTGTTGATATTATTTTGTGAAACATCATGCAGCTCGTAATTCCCAAACTCAACAATTCTTTTATAGTTTTATGACTATTTTGGCTGAGAATGATTGATTTGGAGTGAAGTGAAAATTCGGCTTCGTTACTCGGCGACGGCTCACCTGTGAATGTGCCCGCAGGCTTTGAGCCATAATCGGTCATTGCTGTCGATTTATGGGCAAAAACAGGACAGTTAGGAAGGGGCTAAAATTAGTAAAAGGTGTACAGAGTAAGACTGCAAAATAAATGATAATTTCTGTATTGAATATAGGATAATAACAAATATATACAACATCGAAATATAACTGTTCAGAGCATACAAATCACATATCCAAACAAATAACTTACTCACTAAATTAGCTTTGTTAAAGTAAATATAACTTAAAACTTCTTCTTTCTTGCACGTGCATTGGAAAAATCATCAACAACTGCACTGAAATCGAGTTTTGTTGTCAGTTCATGTTCTATGGCTAAAACAGCCAGGCTGACGAGTCGTTCTTGAGTCACTGTTGAACGCAGATAGTTTTTTACTCTTTTCAAGGTCGAAAACGATCTCTCAGCAGAACAGTTTGTAGCAGGAGTTGTCAAAAACATTTTCAAACCAATAGCCACGTTGGGAAACAAGTCCTGTAGATTTTTTTCTATCAAAAATCTGTACAAGTTTGATAGTGAAAAGTCTTTTTCGGCTTCTTTGTAGTTTCCTCGGATCAGAAGTCCTTTCAGATGGATGCACTCGCATATAAACTCTGACTCTTCAATGTCTTCAATATAGATTTTCTGCAAAGACGTCGCGTTAGCAGTAATTTCTTCGGTAGTTAGAGTCTTTAATTTTGTTAGAAATGAAAACTTTGCAACGAAGTCTGTGTACACAGAGATCCTTTTGTCTAACTGAAACTGAAGTGTTTCCACGATGATGTCATAACTTTGTTGAAGACAATTTCCCCTAATGTCATCATCCTCATCATAAGTTCTTTCTTCATCTTCTTCTGAAGATTCATCAAAGAACCTCTTTCTTTTCGCCTTTCTTTTTGGGCGATCAAAATCTTGCTGCACCTGCGGCTGCGTCTCTTGTGGAAGTTCTGGCTCATCGTTCTGTCTCATTTCACCTTGCGCAATTTGCAGTTTTTTTTCGCCCTCTTTCTTATAGTGGGTAAACATGTCTTTCATGTTCATCACATACTCTGTGAGTGAGTTGTACAGGATTACAACGCTGTCCACGGTCATATTTTCAGCCTGGATCTTTTCACTGACTGAATTAAATTTTTGAAGTACATCTCCCCAAAGGGCTGCCATGAAACATGTTTCTAGAGACATTAGTTTTCGCAACAACCCTTTGGCTTTGGATTGTGTCTGTTTGTTTTCATGATTGCTTGAAGTCATGTCTATCAGCGTCTTGACCATGGGTTTGTAGTCTTTATTAAGGCTTTTGCAAGCTTCTTCCCTTGCAGACCATCTTGTAACACTGAGAGACTTCAACGACGTGTTCTTGTCCTTTCCTGTGGCCGTGAAATTTGACAGAAGAAGATTCCACCTGTGCGTAGAAGACGAGAAAAAATTGTACAATCCTTGCAAGAGATCAAAGAAATGTTTTGCAAGAGAACAGCATTCTGCTGCGCTTGATCCCACTAAATTTAGTGAATGCGCTGAACAAGGCACATAAAATATCAAGGGATTCTTTTCTTTAAGTCTTGCCTGCAACCCCGAGTACATTCCTGACATATTTGACGCGTTGTCATAGGACTGTCCCCTACAGTTTTGTATGTCCAATCCTTTCGACTGTAGGAAAGAAAGCACTGAGTTCACTAGTTCTTCACCTGTATGACCTTGATTTTTCATAAATTCAACAAAATGTTCTTCAGGGATTCCCAATTCATTCACATACCTTAATATGAAAGACAATTGATCAATGTGTGTTACATCAGGGGTGGAATCTACTATTATAGAATAGTACTTGCTTTTCTTAGCATCATTCAAAATTGTATCAATAACGGTTTTTGCCATTATTTCGATGAGTTCTTCACAAATGGTTGATGATAGGTATGACTGATTGCCTTTACCCGCTTTCCCATATTTTTCAATGTGTGCTTTCAAAAATGGATCAAATTCGGCAATCAGCTCCAAGCACATCATATAGTTGCCATTTGAAAAAGAACCAAATTTTTCGTCAGTCCCCTAAAGGCAAGACCACGCGAGGCAAGTTTTTTTATTACGGCCACCACTCTCTGGAGAACTGCCTTCCAATACCTTATTTCTTCTTCCACTTGGTTTTGTAGAAGCTTATCGATCCTCCCGGCTGCTTCTGCTCTTTGTTTGTATACTATTACACTATTGTAGTGAACGTGCGAGTTTTCATGCTCTTTTATTCTCGCTGATGCATGTTTCCAATCACTGAACCCATTTTCAGTAAACTGAGTAGAGGTCGAACTAAACAATTTGCATGGACCACAGAACAAAGAGCCTAAACTTGGTGAGTAAATCAAGAAATCTCTATTTACAATTTCGCCATTTGCAAGTTTTCTGTCGAATAGCCATTTAGCCAACACTCTTTTCCTGTCTGGATATTGCCTTTCAGATTTTTTAAAATCGCAATCTTTATTTTGATTCCATCCATTTTTAACAAAATATTCCCGCGTCTCTTCATTCACTATCCATAAAGCAGGATCATAATTTGGTTTCAAATGGACAGAAGAGTCAGGTTCAGAGACTGTTAATTGATCTTCAATCTCGTCAACAACAAAAGTTAATTCGGATATAGCTGGTTTGATCTTGTCAGTATCAACACATGACGAAGCTGAAGGTGCTGATGCTGAAGGGGTTGAGGGTGAAGCTGAAGGGGTTGATGCTGAAGCTGAAGGGGTTGATGTTGAAACCGGAGGGGCTGATGCTGAAGCTAAAGGGGTTGATGTTGAAGCTGAAGGGGCTAATGCTGAAGCTGGAGGGGTTGATGTTAAAGCTGAAGGCACTGATGCTGAAGCTGTTGAAGCTGAAGGCGTTAATATGGAACATACTTCTAGTTCTACTTCACAAAATTCTTTGACACTTTCTAAAAGCACTGGTTCTGGTGGCACTGGTAGGTTACTTCTTGTAAAAAATGTATCAAGCTTCGCAGTTTTATTTACAACTTCTGTCAATTTTTTTTTCTTCTCTTCGGCTACTTTTTTGTATTGCCACCCACTGAGCCGTTTGCGTCCATCCATTTGTACAGCTGCTTGTTATAGCATCAATGACATCGGAAGTAAAGGTCTGACTGTAAAAAAAAGAATATCTGTATAATTCAAAACTGTAGTACGATAC